TAAGACAAGCAGCATTATCATTACACGTGATTCAATAAATAGATGTATGTTTCCAAATCTGATAGAAGAGTGCAAATTACTCAATTTTCGAAGCTCAGTACGGCTGAGAACTTTTAGACAAAGTCAAAATAGAAAATTACCAAAAAATTCAAATAATAAGGAATGTTAATTAATGCTGTAGTTCATCTGACATCAATTACAGATTTCGAATTGCTAGTGAGTAATAATTCCAGGGATTGTGATTCAGTAACCGGAAACAAAAATTCTCTAATTCAATATTGATTGTATGCATGTCTTTAAAATACATAAAGTTCATATCGTTGATGGTGTCCGAACGCATAAAAAAATTAACAAAAAGCATTAATATACGCCATTTAGAAATTCAGGCAGTGTGGATTAAAGAAGGAAAAGTCATTTCCATCTTTAATCTCTCTGTATATATATGTCATAATTCCAGATACATAGAAGAAAAATCAGCTTGCAGTCGTCGTGGCTGAGGGTGAAGACTTACAGATAAAGATAACAAAACATGACCTTATATAAAATCATCTCAATAGATATTTATCCAATCATAATGAAATCTGAGATGTTTCTATGATTCAGTCATAATGAAATATGATAAATTGCCATGTACATTGATTTTTAAAATTCAAACACAGGCATTTTAGACGGGGAAGCAAAGCGAGGAGCTATTAGCAATGTAGAAGGTAGCAGAACTGACGTAATTAGCTGCCAGGGTTATTTATACCAAGTTTGATGTAAAGTACAGCAAATCTATAATTCGTTGCTTAGTAGCGTTACATAACGAAAAATATCGAATTTGGGATAACAGATGAATTTAGGGGGAGAGCACCAAATTTATAATGTTAATTTTGAGGTCGCCAATTATTGTTTAAAGCAGCTATCCTATTTTATTATATCTTATATATATGTGTGTATGTATGTATGTATAATGTGGTATGTATGTATACACATATATTCGGAAATATATTTACAAGGTTTATGGGATAGTGTGTGGCATGACTACCATAACAAAATCATTAATAGTTAGTTTAAAACACTGCCTGGCTTCACATATAAAACGTATCGCACCCAAATCGTAGAAATATAGTGCATTACATGACTTTTGGCGATTGCACAAACACATTGCATATTTTAATTCAAGAAGTTTCAAAACTAAGAGACAAACAATTTTTCAGAACTAATCTGTATTCTATCGTAGTGTTTCAACTATAAAATCTGAAAATAAGATCTTATTTCGCTGAGAGAAGTCTTTTAACTTACACTTAAAGTATGCGTTTTACGCAGTTTGATAGCAAACTCACTACGCGGAAAAAACATCAATGCTGAACTTTCCGTTATGCATCTCATTTATAATTCCATGTAATTAATGTCGAAGCAACTCCTCGACAACATGCAAATGTATTTATCAGAAGGATGAAGATACATATCTATATGATTTTATTATTACTATTTTATTTATGAAGATGAAGAATTTATTATTACTATTTTATTTATTATTATTACTATTTTGTTATTACTAATTTATTATTATTATTACTTTTTGTTATTACTTTACTATTTATTAATTATTTATTACTATTTTATTTATTATTATTACTATTTTGATTATTACTAATTATTTATTATTATTACTATTTGTTATTACTATTTTATTTATTATTATTACTTTTATACTTTTATTATTTTTTTATTTATGACATGAAGATACATATCTACATGACTTATCCAAATTACTGTACTGTACACAGTACAGTAATTTGCTGCGTTTGAACTCACAAGACTGTTAAGATGGTGATGAGTTTTGTTTTCTCTTTAGTAATCTTTTACATGATTTAATTGATGATTTTTGAGCAGTTACTAGTAAATAAATAATCACACGTGAAACGTACTTATGTTTCTGATTGGCACTGCAGTAGCAGGAGGTTAAGAAAGATTAATTTTTATCATTACTTATATTTTGGGTTATTGCATCAACATAACACAATGCATTGGTCTCTGTTTAGGAATACATTTTTGTTAGCCACGTGTAATTTTTATAACTTGGACCTTTTTAATAATATTTTAGTACCGTGCCATTTTGGTATCTTAACAAGATAACAATGTGCTTTCACTATGAATAACGCCTTGAAGCTTTTACAGAGTACTAGGTGGGGATTGCAGTGATACAAGTCAGCGTCTCACACATGTTTTACAGGACTGAAATCCGGAGAATATGTGGGTTACTCATTCCTCTGGATTCCTACGTCCTCATGTTAATCGAACCTGATAATTTTAGTCTTAATAGCGTTGTGGTTTTCAGCTTTAGAAAATTTATAAAAACTATCTAAATTTATGAGCAACAGAAAACGGCGTAACGAGTAAATATTCAAGACTATAGTTTTAAAGCTTAACAGAAACTTCCTCTTCAGTTGGGGGCGTGAAAATGAGGGAAAAACATGTACCTTCAGAAGTAAATTTAATTATGGTTCAGAATTCAAAACAATAATTACCGCAAGACTGAAGGATTAACCAAGGAAAAACCTTTCAGCTTTATTCTTCCTGGCATTTATATCAACCAGAATGAATTCAAATTTTAGTTGAATGCAGCTGGGATGATGATACATTTGTTCTGTTTGATGGTAATAAAGAAGATTTAGCAGAAGTTCTTTCAGTCATAAATTCAACGGCTTCTGTCTTTCAGTTTACTTTTAACCTCGAGATATCTAATGTCTTCTGTTCGCCTATTTCCTGGTCCCACGCCATGAAGCTAACTTCAGCACTACTGTGCATCATAAAACTTCGTCGTTTGCTTCCCATCGCACTTCATATCTTCTCATTCTACAAAAATGTGTTTATCATTTTGTTTCCCTCGCACTCTGTTCTTCCAAATCAGCTCTGTTCAAGAACTCAATTGTTTAAGAGCGGTTGTAATTGATAGAGGCTTCACTTCATATAAACGATGAGGTTGTCAAAATAAAGGATGTGATGTCTGAACACAAGAAAAAAACACTTTTTTATTTTGAATGATTATAAGAAATCAGTGGCTACTGCATTCTTTCCATCAATTGGCAAATAAATAAAACCGATACTTAAAACCGCTTCACCGTTCCCCTCGAGAGAGACTCTTCGATTTGAAAAAGTCTCAAAAATCGACTAGTCTATCTCGGGGAAAACTGTGAAGTAGTTAAATGCCTTTTTCCAGATATTAACTCCTGGAAGTAACTGTAGTATTCTTTTCCGGTGTGCCATAATATACATTGGTCAAATAAGAAAAATCTTGAAATTTCGCTCTAAAAGACACGCGAATTAGATTTAGAAATAAGAAACTCATCTTCTAGTGAACACCATTGCTGCCAAAAATAACATTTCCATTTACTTTGCAACGAAAATTATTCCAAAAAGGCCCCCCGTTGATGAATTAGGTTCCTTGGAGGTGACTTATACCCAGAAAATTATTTCGGTTCTGGTTAGTGATTTAAATTCTAATCCCGTTCAGGATTTCCAGAATTTGCATCTTTGTTGTTTTTCTTTCACTTCTCGGTCAACAAATGGCGCCAGTGGCTTCGTTTTTAACCTTTACCCAGAACTTTCTCGAATTTTTCAATGTTATTCTCGATGAGACCTGAGATTCTTTTTCGCAGCTGAGAGGGAAGTTCTATTTAATCTTCTAAAATATAGTTTAGCAAAATTATTTACGTAACGCCGATTCATGTTGATTATTATTAGTTCCTTTAGCATTTACTTCCAGGAGGAATATTCCATGTTGATGATTTACAAAATAGTTACTAACACTACTTTTTTATGAGCTACAGCAATCGTTTTGTAACTGTGTCATTCATTTTCTCACTATATTGTTTCTCTTTTTCCAGAAGCAAGTAAATCTGTAACTTGGACTTCAACGTTCCAAACTATAACCAAGTCCTAAAAATTACGAATTGCATTTTTTAAAATTAATTTTGATACCGCTTTGAAGTATGGATATAGATGTCCTATTCATATTGCCATTTTGCAATTTGGCATGCAGGTTTTACACAGGAAGCCGTGTCCGTAAATCAAATCGCGGAATGCTACAGCAACATGATCGACAAGCAAAGAAGCGGCGTTAACATGATGATAACAAACCTTAACGATACATATGAAAAAAAAGATCATTTTTACAGAAAATGCTCAAAATTCTTTCTTTTCACAGCAACGCATGCTTCACAACTTCGAAGCATGGATCCGTTCAAATTGGCCACGTGTGTTATGGACACGTGCATTCAGTTTCACAATCATGTCAACGAGACAGATGTCAGATATTACGGGTATCTCGTATACCAGGAATTCCATGTATCCCCACGAGATTAAATCCATGGGGGTGAAGAGATGTACGATACTGCACAAGAGATGTATGATTTGATAGATATTCTTTTGGGAAGCGCTCTCGTTACATGCTTCTCTCGGCTCCTCCGTTTCCATCCACGGCACCTAAATGTAATGCATATCAGCCAATGTTTCGTTCCTGAGTCAATGCATCCCTTTTCTGTGGCGTCTTCTCCCAAAATAATCCCCGCTTTCCCCCTCTCTCCAATACTCCTACGAACATCGCCCTCTAGCCGTAGCTGGTAATGGTTTTGGACACAACTTCCTACATAAAACTTGTTCATCATGGTCTGACAGACTAACGCGTAAAGTTCATGTATGAACTTTTTGGACACCCTTCATATGTCAGCTTTAGCAAGCAACTTATTAATATGAATAATAAGACGCACTGTTACACCTCATTAGATACCATTTTACAAATGCCACTTGCGTCGTAAAAAATAACCGTTTAGCTGGTTTGATTATATCAAAGCTCTTTCTCTTCTTTTATATCACTTTTGCTTTAATCCCGCTCGATAGTCTTCTAGTATTTATAGAGAAATTTCAAATCCCTACTATAGTTGAAAGACTAAAATACATAAATGTTTAAATCATAACTATAAAGCATTATAATGGTAGTTATCGTATTAACATACCTGAGGGTATTTGCTGCATTGAATATAATTTCATATTCATCTGCTGCGAGTTCAGCAGCCCTTACATAGATATCCGCAGCTTCATTGTGTCTCTCACACTCAGATAGAAATTGACCTAAAAATTAATAATATTAAAATTAATTTCTAAATACTTGTTACAGCTTCATATACATAAGAACGCATAATACACTAGTGTGCAAAATTAAGACAGTTTGCAAATTAGGTCACATTTTATGATACGTATTGAACCAGAGTTGCTTTTACTCCGCCGAAGAATTATTCAAGAATTACACAACTGCTCAGAGTCGAATATGTAACAGAAAGCGTGCGTATCTGCTGAGCTGTGATTGTGGGGGGAGGGCATATCAGCGCATGGTACGTTTTCGGAGATTTACGTGTTCGTACTCTTCACTACATTTGTTGTGTTCTTTGCAAGAGTTGGGTCAATTTTATAAGGTGCCAGGTTAAATGAGTAGCCACAAATGTATGGATGACGGAATGAGATGCAGAACTGTCGGTAGACTGGAAGCAAGCCATTCATAAAAGCAGGGTGGGTATAAAGGCCAGTGTAACGCCCAGTGTCATCTGCAATTTGTGGAAATGCATCAATAGCAAGAAGACCTGGAGAATAGGTTGACCAAGATCAACAACGACGAATGAGGATCGTTATTAACACGTTCAGCGCTGCGACAGTTTCATAGTTCTCATGTGAGTTGTATACTGCCACTGGAACCCGAGTTTCACATTCTGTAGTTGCACGAAGACTTCATGAGAGGGGTTGTATGACAGAAGACCCGTTCTTTGTGTCCCACTCACTGCAGCACTCAAGAGAGCGAGGCGAGTTCAGCATGGTGCAGAAAGCGTGCGCCTTGGTCCAGAGCACTGTGCGTTTAAAAGCACTGTTAGAGCACTGTGCGTTTTAAAAATGAGTCGAAACTCAGCCTGACTTCTTTCCTGACTTCTATGAAGTACAGAGAGAATTTAGTGTCCTATGTTCGCCTTTTCAGGGGCGCAGTTGGTCCTGGGTTCCTGTTAATGGAGAACAATGATCGTCCATAGAGAGCTCAGCTGGTGTACGATTATCTGGAATGTGAGAATATTCGCTGCATTCATTGGCTAGCCAGATCTCCTGACGTTAACCAAATAGAGCACTTATTCTCAACCCTTTGACTGACGAGTACTATCTAAACAAAAACTGAAAACCTTTAGTACCACCACCACTCTTGAACAAAGCTGAGATTTCACAAATTTACGAGTGTTAGAGAAAAAACTCAGTCAGTATGTTGGGTTTTAATTTTTGAATTTAATAGTTGAAAATACTTTGCTTCTTTGTGTACCACCTATTTTTCTCTTGCGTAGCACCGGAGTTGAGAACTCCTGATATAGAGTATGGCTCAAACGCTCCTGAGATGGCGATTTCATTTTGTCATTCCCCTCAGAGAACTATCCCGGAGTTGAAAACTGCCTTGCCGCAGGAATTGGATCGACTGCCACAGGGACCCCTAAACTACCTCCTTTTCATTATGCCATCACGCTGCGCGTCTTGTCTGGCTATGAGAGGGAATCATACTCCATATCACACTCAATTTTAGTTCGGATATCGCAGTGCGGAGTTTGGACATACTCCGCACTGCGATATCCGAATTACTGACAATCACGCCTATATAAAATCGATTTTGAATGGTACAGCCCTTTGTTATAAATATATATTCATACAAATTTCATTAAAATCTGTATAAATATATATTCATACAAATTTCATTAAAGTCTGTATAAATATATATTCATACAATTTTCATTAAAAATCTGCTCATTAGTTTTTCAAAAATTCGACATAATATGCATATTGTCTTAAAAATGCGCACAAATGTATTTAAATAGCCAGAAATGTGTATGCATGGTAACATTTTACACAAGAAATAAAAAGTCAGCTGCGATGTTCGCACATCTTTTGTACCCCCAACCACCAAAAAAAAAAATTCGAATTCATGGATCAGGTATGAATTTTCTCCGTGTTTTATTTACGCATCCATATGAAATGCGTGCAACACCAAGCGTACACTTTCTTCTAAAGTTATGCGAAATTTCACGTAAAAAGTGTTTAAACTTGAAAGCAGGTTTTCTTCAGATGATATTTTTCATATGCATATTTTTATTTCCTTTGGGCTTGAGCATGATTTAATTTTTTTTTTAGATGTATTTATCTTATCTTAACCAACTAATAGTTTACGTTGCTTTAACTATCTAGCTCCACAACTTGTTTACGTTGCCTCGGGTAGCTAGCTCCAATTTGTTTACTATCTATCATTCATATTTTCAGAGACACTTTCGTTCGGTTGCTTTAACTAATGAGATGCTTTGTTCGTCCCCTTCTCAAAACCATAAAACTTTTAAAACGTGCTTTTACTCACTGCATTGATTGAAATGGTTTCTTTCCAAAACCGCTATCCTACGACAGAAATGTCTGACTAAATAAAGAAAAGATCCGATTTCTCTATAACACGTAATTGTTTTCTCTACTCTGAGAGCTGCTTCTCCTTTGTTTCAAACTTCTTTTTATTATTTTCATTTCATTAATTTACCTGATTTATGTGGTTGTATTTCCTTTGCTTTTATGGTCGAAGATTAAGTGATAATGCAAATAAGTGTCTTTTATGGTTACTACATAGATAAAAATTTCGAACAACGAGAGTAATTAGTACTGTTTTTATAAGAATAAAGGCAATCCAAAGAATCGCATCTTTTAAAATGTTCGGAGTAATGTTAATAATTTCGTTTTGTGCTATTTTTTCTAATATTCAAAACATCACAACACAACTAAAATGGAATGAAAGCACAAAGCATATGTGCTAGATGCAACTCCGCAGCATGGTTACGATGTTAAAAACAATAACCAACGAAACAAACTGTGAAACGTTTCATCATGCGAGGTATGTATCAGAAGTAACGTCGGCTAATCAAGTGTTAGATAACGAAGGACAGAATAAGGGGTAAAACCAGAACTGTTGCATTACTGAAGTAGGCAGCTTGTGCATGGCTTAAGAACCACTTGCTTTAAAAAAAAAAAAAAAAAAAAAAAAAAAAAAACTCATCTGATGTTTTTATTTTATTTGAATATGATACTGAACTGATAATGAGAAAAATATTGAAATTAAGAGTTTAATTTGCCAATGAATTACTTCTAACCTGACGGACTGGGGAGATAATTTCCATACGTTTTGTTGGACACGGAGAAACTTTCTTGGAATCTAGATATTATTGCGTGCATACTGGCTTGTAATAGACTGAATGCTCACAGCTCCGTTAATAGGTTGATGAAATTTATTTTATCAAATTTGTTTTATAAAAATTTAGTTTTTTAAATATTTTTAATTTAAAAATGATTTTATAAAAATAAATTTAATTTAAAAAATTTTAAAAAATTTAAATTTAAATTTAATAAAATAAATTAAAAATTAAAATAAAAATAAATTGAATACAAATTTAATAACATAAATAAATTTAAATTAAATAAAATTTATTTAATCAAAATAAACGCTTCAGAGATCAGGAACTTTCCAAAAACTAATCGTACAGCTCTTCACAATATCAAAGAGCACATTATGTATTTACATTTCAAACTACGACGACAAAGAGTTGTCGACTAAGTTAAAGACAACGGAATGCGAAGTGCAGCTAAAGAGCGAAGTTATGCTTGGAACTCACGATGATCTATCAGCTTACAACTGAAAGCAGATGCTTTCGCCGGCGTTTTATAATTTTCATCCAATCGCCGAGATATTTCTAGTACTTTCTGCTTCTTGGAAATTACTGGAATGCAATATAAGGGTCGAATTACGGTTACAACTAACACAGTGATCAATTACATTTTTTCCAATTACAATACTTATCACCGTGATACAGCGACCGGACCAAAATGTCGTCAAATGGTCACGAAGTTTGGCGACTTTGGCGATTTCTCGCCAAATTACCGAGATACTCATTTACTCAATATTAAATGGACTTTCCCTATATTCCTACTTTTCCGGCATAGCTTACCTCTCTAAATGTTTCATGTTACGTTACGCAAAAAAATAAAACAATTTCACATATAATTCACTAAAATGATCTATCTATGTACAAAATTCATAAAAAAATTTTATCTATTAAAAATTGAGAAAATAGTATGACTAAACTCCTTTCGTGTTTATATATGTATATTCTCAGCTATAGTCGAATTATTTTGTTTTAAATACATTCTATATTGCCAAATTTCAGTCATTTTTATGAAATATTGCAATTTTTGTTTTTATTCTATCTTACTGACTTAATATGAATCATTTTGTAATGGAATATTCCAACTTTCTTTTATATTCTATCTTACATACTTGAATAGGAATGATTTTATAACATTATTCGTCTTAAATAAAGGAAATTAATTTCTTACCATAATGCTGGTAGACACTCGAGTCATTTGGAGCAATAGTTTTGGCTTTCAGGAACCACTGTTCCGCCTCTTCGAGACGATCCTAAAAAATTAACGCAATTATTCTCCAGACTGAGGAAAGCGGAATGTAAAATGTACATTGTCTTATTGCTAAGAAATACAGATGCATGAATAAAAATAATTGAAATTTTGCTATATTATTCCATAACACATATTTCGTCAAGTGAATACAGGAATAATAAAATGCAAAGAAAGATTACTCATTAACTGCAATTTAAAAGATGCTTATTCTATTTATTTTGAATGATGCATTTCTGCAGGAGAACTGATGATCACATTGTCATCATTCTGCGTTTTAATAAATAATTAAAATTATTATTAAAACGTCTTTTAAACTCCTGCATTAATTGGTTCTAATAAAATATTCAATGCTCTGTTTTCACATGAAAAAATATTTTATACTTACGTAGCCTTATTTTGTGTTATTACTTACCTTTCCTAGCTAGCTCTTCACTGCCTATGTAAGATCTCAAATACATGTACAGAATGTCTTCATATTAAGTGAAAAAATTCATCATATTCAGTATTTGATTATTTAATGATTTATCTTTAAATAAAATTTTGATTTTCAAGCTCAAAGATGATTAATTAGAAAACGACATCAGTGTGACTCATTTTTAATGAAAGTTGACATCTTAATAACATTCATTTTTTTTTTTACTCAGATGTATTTATTAAATGCGTTACTAAATAATATTTTAATAAAGATCTAATTTGTAAAAGCGATTTTAGAAGCTTATTTGCAATTACTAAAACTATTTATTCCTTACAGATACTAATACTCTACATTAATTAACATTTACACTAATGAATATTTTAATTCTCTAAATCAATAAATTAAATTAAACTGCAAATTTCCGTTGATTGCATCAGTTCAGTTCTCAATAACATTAATTCAATAAAGACTTTCTGTCTCCTCAAAGACATGAGCATTATTTATTTTTAACGAAAAGATAAATTACGGAGTTTTTCTTTAATAGTTATTTCACTTGCTACTGAAACAGTCGAATTTCTGTCATTAATGAGATGTTCCATTTTGTAACCGCGGTATGTGACGAAATTTCTTTTCTTCATTAAACTTTAGTCATTTAAATTTATCTAATTCTATTAAAATTTTCAATGGATTTATTATGAATATAGTAGATGTTAGCGTGATCAGTTTTAGAAATCTTTGGTAATAATCGCACTAAATATGATGCAATATTGGCAAATATTAATGCTGAATAAACATGTTTTTCATTTAGAACGATCCAGGAAAATTAAGTACCTGATGATTCACAGACAAAACAAAATTCCAGACGTGAAACTTGCTACATACACCATGTCCACAAAAGGCCTTACGCGGCTCAAATGTTTTGCAACCGTTGGTCGTAAACATATATTTCTAATTACAAAAATGTTCTTTAAATAACACTAATACTGATATTATAAATTTAAAAATCAATTTTGTAAAAATCGCAAAATCTAATCTTTATACGGTACCACGATCTATTAGTTAAATTTAACAAAAATGTATGCTCATTATGAAATTTAAAGCATAAAATGTCTGTCTCCCGTGTGTAAGATTTTCGAGTGTAGGTCACTTTTTGCTTTGCTGTCTTCGGTGTTGTTGCTTGTTCTTCGGCTGTTAAAAGTAATAGGGCTGCAATTATGCCCCCGATCGAGCGTTCCACTGGAAGTTCGAGGAACCGGACTTGTTTAGCGATCTTCGGAAATAATGGTTCTTGAATTGTGATAAGAAAGAATCTAAAACACTTTTGTCTTTGTATCTTCGATGCAATTGCTCGTTCCTTAGCTGTTAAGAGGGAGTAGCTGCAGTTATGCTCCCCGACCTAGCGCTTTCTTAGGAAATTCGTGGAACCGGATTTGTTTTAGCGATCCTTGAAAGTAATGATTCGTGAATTATGACAAGAAAGAATCTTAAAACACTTTTTACTTTTTGTTACGCGTCCGAAGAAAACGTCGAGTCAAAGCCTTTCGTCGTTGTTATGGGGTACATCACTAATTAATTGCCTATTTAGATTTTGTCACTGTGAACAGCAAGGTACGGATTTGAGGCTGGACACGCAGTCTTACTTCTTCATGTTACTGAAAAGTAAAGCTTGCATTAAGAACATAAGAACTTCTTTCTTTCCTGGTGGAGATGCCTTTTACCTCATTGAGTGTTGCTTAATGCAACGATTCGCCTTTTACCTCATTGAGTGTTGCTTAATGCAACGATTCGTCACTTTTCTGAAGATGGAGTTCTTCTGCCATGTGCTCGGGAAAGCCAGACTTCCTGCCTAGTATTGTTAATCTCAAACCATCGCGAATGTGGAACGATCTTCAAGAATTATTTTTTATGTACCTTCCAGACTTCCTTTAAGGAAAATAATTTGGTGTGATGTTGAAAACATCTCCTTTTTGTCTTCATTTCTAGTCTTGAAATTTCAACCGTTCTTCAGCTCCGTCCTTGGACAGCGCTATTGGACAAGTAAAATGTTTCCTTTATTTTATTCATGCTTAGGATTCAAAAGTGTTTTCCTTGGTTCTTCATACTTGTGAAAAAATCGGAGAATGATTTAGTTTCATAATCTAGAAAAATTGGAAATAGGGATATAGTCAACAGAAATTGTTCTTCGCTTATCACTTTCTGTTTATATTATTTAAAAAAAATGTATGTATTAGCTAAGAGTCATGGTTGAATAATTTCTAAATGTAATAGATCATAGCTTATTCGGAATTTTAAATTGTATTTTAATGTAAATGTCTTAATTAATCTTACTGTTATCGATCAGGTAGTAACTAAAGAAATTTGTGAGGTGTCCCTGCCTTTATTATAATAACAGAAATTGTGTTACATATACCGCTGCCTTTATTATAATAACAGAAATTGTGTTACATATGTGTAAATTTGGTTCGTTGTTTTGTTTTATTACTAATAAGCTGATAAGCTCGAGGGCCAGATAGTAATTAAGGTAATCAATTAAAGAGGAAATGAAATATCAAAATAATTATTTTAAGGGTTATATATTGATACTCTTTATTTTTGAATTGGTAAAGGAAAATGTAATTTTTCTTAGTTTCTTCACCTGAAATAAATTTATATTTAATATAAAAGTTGATTTATGTGCTATTAATTTTAATTAATCAGGATCATTTCAGAAGCACGGTCCCGTAAAGATACTAATAACAAAGCAACATGTATTACTCTTCATTACGATCGCAAAAATGTTAACTTTGATTGAACTTAAGTTTAAATTAAGAAAGGGGAAATATGTTCCTCTATGATTTAGTTAAATTTTGGAATACTAAGGTAGATCAGGAATAACAGCCAAGTTTTATAGTGTCTGAAACACCACGGTATAACAGAAGTATACGAAAACATAACGCACAATTCAAAAAGATAATTTTTACTTCACACCTTTTTTATTTCCTTACATACTAGAGAGTAATGTTCTCAATAAGATTCCATCAAAAGCTTGCGATGAAGCTGCACAACAACAACACTTTCAGAGCACATTTTAAACTGAATTATTCCCGAAATCATAAAACATTTCCATTTGTAGAAGAGAGACAAATTGTTTTTCTCTCAAAATACACTGAAGGTTTTCTGTTGAGACCAAGGGCCAAAAGCTAAATATTACCGATTTCATATTCAAAAATCTTGCATCTACTTAATTACGTATCGCCTATTAAACAGCATCTTAATAGGGTTTTGCTTACTTTGCTTCACTAGTTTTCTCTTTGAAAAAAAAAGTAAGAGATTTTTTGAAAGAGCTCGCATCTTTTTTGTTTTGTTTTGTTTGTTTGTTTAGGCTAAAATCTTGATTTTATTTAAAACCACTATACAGCGTCTGCTTTTAAGATGACAAAACCAAAGCCCTAGAGTAACTTTTCCAACCTAATACAGTTTTTTTAACGTATGATTTTTAAACAAAACGATATTTTATTCAAAGTCTCCTTCTTGCAGAAATTTTAGTGGTAAAAAAAAATCTTTCAAATACAGATGTAAAAACAGGCTGCATGATGCTAGGGTGCTAGGGCTATCAGCAGCATAATCAGAATTTGTAATAAAATACCTTGAAATTAAGTTGCAAAGAAAAATGGTTTCATGTACTTATTAGACTGTGAATCAGCAAATCGATTTTCATTGACTTCAAGGTGTCAGAAATATCGTCGATAAAGAACCAAAATGTCTGCATGGTGGTGTAGCGGAAATGAATCCAATTCCGTTCCTTGCCGTGAATGCAAATGAAAACCAGAAGATCATTCTAAGGATTCATGATTGAAGCTTAAACTAGCAATTTATAAAACTGTTGATTATGCAACAAAACTCCTCACAAAATTAACTAAAAGGGAAAAAATTTCGATTCCATGCGGCAACATTTCGTATCCAAATCGATTAAAAAGCTAATATATTTTCATCAGTAAAGGTACATTCCCCGCGTCTTTACCGTTTCTTCTATTTCAGACCACAATTAAATCGCGTAGTAAAGAGAATATTAAAGTGAACTCAGTACCACTAATAGTGTATAACACAAAGCAAAAAAAGTGTAATTGCCACGAAATTTTCAAAATCCTTGATTACAATCACTATATGGATTGCAAAAAGTGATATAAAATCTTATATCTCAAGCTAACCAAAGATATTTCTTTGCACTTGAGTTGCAGTATGCAGACTTAAATCTGCATTAAAGTATGCATGCATTAGGATTAAGACACAATAATACGCCGAATAAATACTAATTCAGAAGTCAAACAACAAAAATCAGCGTTATATTTACAAAATTTTCACAGTGAATTTCACAGAGTTTGAAAATTTTGTAAATATAACGCTGACTTTTGTTGTTTGACTTCTGAATTATGCATTAGGATATTTAAAGTATGGTACCTCTGCACAAGTAATAGATGCTGAAATCGCTTATAAGCTAGTTTTTCTTCAAGCATAGATTTAAGAAAGAGTGAAAAATAGGATATTTTCCGAAAATTTTGGCTAGTGGTGAAATTTTGTCCCTTTTAAATTCCAGTTTCTGAGCTCAA